CGTGTGTGCGTGTTCTGTGTGTGTGTGTGTGTGTGTGTGTGTGTGTGTGTGTGTGTGTGTGTGTGGAGGTTATACCGGTGGATGTCGATCTTTCTGTGAGCAGGTGTCTTTCAATGAAATGTTGCAACAATGTACAGGTGAATGGATTTTCGCAGCAGTGTCAAAATTTTGTTTGAGCGAGCAGTTGAAACAGAGGGAAGGAAGAGAGTGTCCACGTCATGATTCTTGTTGCCACTTAAGAGGAAATCAATGGGTAGGCAAGTACTTTGCACATAGGGTCATTTTTAGGTGGGTGGTGGAGAAATTTAAACTTTAATGTTTTTTTTTTCTTTTTGTTTTTTTATCGGTGGAGATGTGACTGGAGCATTATGGAAGAGCAGTCCAATTGTTGTCAGGGACATAGAAAGCTTTTCGTGTCAGTGGAGAATTTAAAATTTAATGGGTTTTTTTTTTTTTTTTTTTTTTTTTTTTTCTTGTAATTGTTTTGTTTTTTTTTTTTTTTCTCTTCCTCTTGTATCTCCCCTTCGAACACTCTACAGTCAAATCGAATTTCTTTTTTTGCTTTTTTTTTTTTCCGGTAGTAAAGTAGGTCTGGGGTGTGTAGGGGCCATAGGATGATGGCGCTGTAGCTGGCCTTTGAAAGGATGGGGATCATGGGGGTGTCGGGGGAGGGATGATTGCTTGTCCTTATCATCTTGGTGGTTCACAAGGAGCCACTGATGCATACCTCCTGGGAAAAAAAACGGGATTTGAACCCGTGACTTCTGGCGTGAAAGGATGGGTACCCGCGACTTCTGGGGTCTGGACGAGTATTTTCAAAGCATGTGACATTGCTCTCCTGAATAAATACAGCCGCGTCTGAGAAGATCGATTGGCTGCGCGTACTCGGGCTTGGTTGGTGGTGATTTATGAACGGATGGAGAGGGATTCGAACCCCCGATATTTTGTAATATGTCAGTTCTCAAGACTGATACCTTCAAAAAAAAAAAAAAAAAAAAAAGACTGATACCTTCAACCACTCAGACATTCATCCAAAGCAAAGACGCCCCTTGTACCTTTCTTTCCACTCCATTGAACACATCGCCAGTGAAGGCTATGTGCTTGCCTGAACACAGCTGTGGCTGTTAGGTGGGGTGCCCTGTATGCACTAAAAATAAAAAATAATATAATAAAAAAAGTAGTGGTAGGTAAGATGGTGTGGGGTGAAATTTGAGAGGAGAATATAGCTTTAAAAATAAAAAATAATATAATAAAAAAAGAATCCAGTGAATTAAATCTGGTTTTTGACGGAGAAGTTGCAAATAAGTCAAAGGACGGGTGCCCAGGACGCCTGACCGGTAGGTGGGGACAGGTCGAGGGCCGCCTACCGTCGGGGTATGCAACACTGCTCTACATTTTTTTTTAAATTTTTGCGCTGTGAGCCTGCGGCCCTCAACGGCTACACACCAAAAAAGAAATTCATCGGTCTGCTGTGTGAAATTTATTTCCAGTTCTTGAAGCGCTTTCCTCTTTTTTTTTCCCAATGTTCTATTCGGAATTATTGACATTTAATCTATGAAGCTCTTTCTTTTTCACCTAATCTACAAAGTTTTTCTGGAGTACCAAAAGCTTGCATTACATCATTATGGACATATATATAATCCTAAAGTGTGAAATCCTAAGAATAAACTAGCCCAACTCAAATGAGATATAATAGCTTCTTTATGTTCAAGCATTCTAGCTCATTTTTCATTTTTTTTCACCTAATCTACAAAGCTCATTTTTTTTTTCTTTACATTTTTAACTGTGTGGGGATCCGGGCCACCTGGCCGGGCAGGGCACCCGGTTGGGGACCAGGCCCCCCCAGCGCACTCACCTGTCTGGGGATTTCGGACTCACTTTCGGACCCCGTGTGTGTCTAGCCTCTTTTCGGAAGGATCCCTACAGCATATTAGCTAGGACCCCACGTCATGCAGAGATACACTTCAAACTTGTACTCCCTGAGGGTGGACAGAGAATATATAGTCTGGATTCAAATTCAGGTCTGTGCATGTCGGTTTCGGGTCACTATTTCGCTGTTTTCTCGCTTTTCTTTTCTTTTCTAGTTTTTCTTTTCTTTTCTCGTTTTTCTTTTCTTTTCTCGTTTTTCTTTCCTTTTCTCGTTTCTCTTTTCTTAGGAATACGTGCGGTGGCCCTAAGGGCCTCTACTCACCAAATGCATAAAAGACGAAACATATGGTGGCGTTTTCTTTTTTTTTTTTTTCTTTTTTTTTNAAGGACATGCTCCAATCTATTCGTGGGGAGCAACACGTGCTGGGAACCGGGCCCAGCGTCCCATTCAAACCCATATTGAGAGAATTGTGCAGAAAACTTTAAGATRYCGGGGCCATTACCCGGMTTCGGCTGAAGATGATRGCTGTACAACCTACCCAACCATCTATGAACACAAGGGRAAAACTATCAATTACTCATGCAATYACCTACCAAAGAGGTCCTACGAATAGGTGAAACCTATTCAATCCACCTACAACCACCACCGGCATGGCGAGAATCCGCACGAACCGAAGCTCTTCCAGGCCTCATGCTCCCATCAAGTTGGGTTACAGAGTTGCACCACCTTGCTCCAGCACCGGCCAGCATCGCTCCCGCTACGACCCCCGATGACCGCTAGGACTGCCCCCACAAACAGCCCAGGTTACAGAGTTGCGCCACCTGGCTCCGGCTCCGGCCAGCGTTGCTCCAGCATCGGTCCTCGAGGACCACCGACTTTTCAGCCACCCCTCGCAGGATCATGGGTGGATTTGCCGGGTCGCACCTATTCCTACTACCTCCTCGGAAGGCAAGCACATGGCGAGCTATACTAAGCTGGATGATAGATTTCATCGAGCGAGATCGCCCCTCCCTCCCCCTACCCCTCCCCCCGCAGCCCTACACTGCCTCCGCCGAGGAAGGTCATCCACCCTCCCTCGGCCCCAATATAGGACCAATCCTCTCCCCCTTGGTTGAGGGTTCAAATCCCTTTTTCCGCTCGTCAGCTTCCTTCGCTGCCTGGCCAAGAAAAGAATGGAGCCGACACCACCCCACCCTGGGGTGGGTGGGAAAGATGAACGCTTCGCGGCGGTTGTGTCACCAGAGGCCACTAAGTGGGAGAAAGTGGTTAATGAAGATTTAAAGCGTCATTTAGGTAAATACATATTAGAATAGTAAAAACATAAGCTTGTAATACAGCAACACCTAAGCACGCAGTTCCCACCTGAAAGGTGCGCCCCCACCCCTTGCCCATTTCCGCCTCCGCAGGGACTGATGTTGGCCCTCACACAGTCCTTGCCCCGGAATAAGGCCACCCCCTACTCCGCCCCTACCCTCGTTGAGACATTCGCCCCCCTCCTTGCGCTGCCTCTGCAGGATAGAGCTCCCCCCACCCCCTTCCCACCATTCAACCCTCCGGGAACAATCCAATCCAGCCTCGCCATCTGATGCAGAACAATATCTGATGAACTCAGGCTAATGATGATGATGAAAGTGAGTGTGATTGCGAACTACTGACGATATTGATGATGATGAAGATAATATGATGACAGCGATGTTGATGGTAATTTCAACAATGATGATGATGATGACGAGCTGATGATTGTATTAGTGATATTCATAACATTACCGATGGTGATGAGCGTACTAACAAGGCTGTTGATGGTGATGTAAGTAGCGATGGTGATGATGATGATTATGAAAGAAAGTGATGACTCGGAGAGATGATGGTGTGCTAACGAGCACCTTGGAGAGCAACCTAAGAATGATGACGATGAAGATGATGATAATGCTGATGATGAAGATGTTGACGCACAGCGTCCTATGAAAAACTACAAGATGATGATGATGAAAATGATGATAACAGCGCCGAATTTCACACACCTTGATAAAACATGCCCTGATGCTGATGATGGTGATGGCGAGCAACGCCCTGATGACGATGACGAACCCTTGCTGCGATAATACTAACAACTCTCACCCGGGTGATGATGATAGTGACAAACGCGCCAGTGTCGCAGATGGCAGAGATACATACAAATCAAAGTCGCCGCACTCGATGTCGCCTCCAATCCTCCTCCCGCTCCACGTAAGCACTCGCTCCTCCCTTCCGTCCGCGTCATACCAACCGCCCACCACAACACTACGCGGACCAAGGAGCAAAAGCCATAGAAGGCTAAACTTCTCAAGGAGACCCACCTCCTCTCGTAGGCAGGTTCCCCTTCACCCAACGTGTCCACCTATGACACCACTGGGCGAAGCGCGAAGCCGGAGATGGCACCAGAGTGCTTTCAAAAGGTAGGCAGCACCAAGGCGCACTCTATCTCCCACCCGCCCGCCGCTCTGGTGTATTATTCCACGTTCTGCAGAAGATTCATTCTAATTTTGCACATCTCGTGAGTAGTGCAGCCAAGCCCTAAGAGTCATGTGCAGAGACCAACAGGGCCTAGCTACGCGAGGAATCCATAACTGCTGAAACGCAGACCTGAATTCGAATCTCGAGTATATATTCGGCCAGCTCGTGCTCTATTTCATATTCACTGCCTGCCTCGATTTTGGTGGGGGGGTCTGCGCTATATGTCTGCGAGGACCCTTCAGATAGCCTGCATGGGCCGTCTGAGCCGTGTGAAGGGGATTCGTTCTCCCTCTCTCTCTCTCTCTCTCTCTCTCTCTCTCTCTCTCTCTCTCTCCTGTCTCTTATACACATCTAGATGTGTATAAGAGACAGCTCCCCCGCTTGTATACACACACACACCTTTACAAAAAAAAAAAAAAAAAAGCGCATCTGCACCCCATCACGGACACCCCCCCAACCCCAGCACCCGCCACCCAGACCAACCCCCCCACCCCCCCCACCCCC